CTCTCTCTCTCTCTCTCTCTCTCTCTCTCTCTCTCTCTCTCTCTCTCAATTTGTTTTTATTTTATATTTTTTCTGTTTTTGTTGTTGTTTTTCTCTCATTCCTTTCTGTTTTGATAAATAGAAGGTCGCCGTGTGCAAGCAAATCAACCCTCGTAAATTGGAATAACACATAAATTTGAAAAACTTTTTTTTTATTCGTGAAATAAAGCAAAGGAGAGGGAAACAACATATACACACACAGAGACCAGAGAGAATTGTGTGTTTTGATGAACTCAAATCAAGCGATTTTTGCCAACAGAAACGGTAGCAAGAGCAGCAGCAGAAGCAATAACATTAGCAAGAGCAACAACAACCCAATGAATAAAAAAAGTGCATGAATTAAGTTCATGAACAGTGAAAACGCGAAAGAGTGAAAACGAGAGAAAAAAATAGAAGAACAGACAACAAAAAAATCATTTATCGACTTTTCGTGTAGCCTTATTTTCTATTTCGAACTTTGATTGTTGTTGTTCGTCTTCGACCAAATAAGTCTGTTTAACAACAACAATAACGACAACAACAAGAGAAAAAATATCGCCAATCTCAGTGTTTTTTTTCAATTCGTTTGGTAAATTTCATTAATTTTGAACTCCGATTGTTCGGTTGTGTGTATGTGAGAAAGAAACTTTGAAAAAGACGATAATGTAATGAGCGAACAGAAGGAGCGCAACACCACGAAGCATACCATTAAAAAACATGTGTATTAATGACAACGTGTCATCGATTGTGTATTCAAATGGCGTTTTGTGCTTGTATTTGAATATGATCGTGTCCTGAATGCAATCCCTGATCAAATAACACCAAAAAAGAGCATGGCATCATCGGCCGATGCGAATATGTTCGCCCTAGTCTATTTGACAAATGTGATGTGTCAAAATTTATCATATTGCAAATTCATTGTTTGAATTTTCAACCACATACACACGCGCACACATGCACACACACCTAACCGCTTTCGATTGTGACAAACGAACGAACAAGCAAAAGAAGAAGAAAGTTCAAAAGAAGACAGTCCTTCGACGGCGTGTACCGCGGTGTTAATCTACGTAAATTAGGGAAACTAATCAATTATTCATCTGATTTACATTAGCAACTTTTCGCTTCATCAAACGAACGAAAGTGCACGGGGAAAAAAGTGTGTGTACAAGCTTGATTGCAAACAAAGCGAAATAAGAAAGAAAGGGCAAAAACCAGAAAGAGAGAGAGAGAGAGAGAGCGAAGAAAAAAAGAAAAACCAACACCAAATTTGCAATTTATCACAGAAATCAATCGCCAACGGAAACAAGGACGAGAAACTAATTCAGTTTTAATTGCTGCGTTTCGACAACAACCGAACACAACCACTAAATTAGTTGGACAGCAAAAATTCGTGATCAAAGACCCGAATCGTTCACGAGGAATATGAACTAGACCATAAAACGATTGATTCAAGTTGAAGAAGATTTAACCGAAGAAAAAATAATTACGATCAGTGTGGAAAACAAAAGCTACAGTGTTAGGTGGATACACACGAACTAGGAATGAAATAAGAATAGAAATCGATAAAAGCGCCGAAAATTGATTATTATCCAATTCACGAATACCAATTGACGGTACGAAAAATCTGACACATACACATATAGATTGAAGCGGCTTGCAAAACGTCACCAGCAACAACAGCAACAGCCAACGCTATAGGACACACGTTCACATGAAATTTAAAAGGTTGATTGAATGATATTGAGGGAAAATCGGACGCAAATTATTGTTGATTCAATGTGTGTATATCGTTTGTTATTTTCGTTCGAAACGCATCCGTTTTAGCTTGTTTCAGGCGCCCCTACACACTATCACCACCTCATGCTATGCTGATATAACTTGGTCGAAAGTTCAAGAGTTCCTTCATATATTCATACATATCACAACAACAATAACAACAACAAAAAAATATATCAGCACACAGTTGAATGAATATAATTACATAATTGTCTTTAAATTCACGTGCTTTGTGCCATTACTTGATTTGAATTAGATGTGCGTGCAAACAAACTGACTGGCAAACTAACAAACATACACATACACACGTACATATCGGAGAAGAAGAAGACTAGAACCGAACAAAATGACAACAAAGCGAAATAGAGAAAAAAAATAAACGCATCGAACCACATACGATAAAGTTAATTGCAAAGCGCTAACGAAAGCGAAACACAGTACGGGAATTGCTCGGTTGAATCTCGTTGTCAAGCCAAAAACAGAAACAACAAATCGTTTAGCTCGAATTCATATGCTAATTACTATAAATATACGTTATATGCATTTGTTACACACAGTTTGATGTTTTCTTCGTTTTATTTTTTTTTTGTATATGACCGACCTTACAGACAGAGACGATGAATCCAAATGAATTATGTGTTCACTGCGCGATGAAAATAATGTTTAAGTATCAAATGACAGATCAAATGCTATTAGTTAACATTGTGTAAGCGGTGTGGATGTGTGTAGTGTAAGAATATTATATGTATACATATCGAGTCGCATTTAATTGGAACAAACCAAAAGATGAATGGCAAATGTGTTGTGGTTTCATTGGTGGCACACCGGCTATATATTGAATCGGCCACACAACGACACTCGATTGCAATTATAACGATGTAATCACGCCAGATTACAAAACCAGAAAACACACAGCACATGGTTGAACTCGACGCTTGGATGTGATTTGCACGCATGATTGAGGTAAGCACATAATTTTGAATCTATTTTTTTTTTATTCCAACATATTCAGGATATATTTTTTTCAGTTTTGTTTCCCTTTATCCCCTTTTTTTGTTACTTCTATTTCTGGTTTATATTGTTTCAAAGCCGCATGCAATCGAGCTTTTCGAATTTGGAACACAAAAGTAGACGAAAATGTTCCAACGAAAAATGAACAGTAATGATTGTACGGTTTTGACCATTCGAAAGAAAGATAACATCTCTACTGTCCACTATTTGTATCATTGTTATTATTATTTTATTATTATTGATCATCTTTATCTTTTGTTCCGCCATAGTTGTGTTTATTATACCAATTTCGATAGAAAAAAAACCCCGATCTGCAAGAAAATCTTCAAAGAGAAAGTCCATTTCCAAGTATTTGGAGTGCATAGTATATGAAGTTGTTGAAATAAATTCGGCAAATCGCTTAAATACGATTTATTATTTTATACCCTTTTGTCCATGATATTGATGGCCGATGACAATGTTCATGACTACATTTTGATGTATATCCCATCAAAATGATTCGCAACACATAACACATCAAAAGAAAAGCCATGCGACATCGATTGATAAAATACATCAGGCGAAAAGAAGAAAGGAACAGCAGTGTGTGTATGTGTGAGAGAGAGAGGGAGGGAGAGAGAGAGATATTTGTGAAGAACATTTCAACAATGTGTATATTTATTGTACCACAATAAAGCTCTGACATCCGCCCCAATGAAATTGAAAAAGAAAATGTAACGCAAAAAGCGAATACACAGCGAGCGATGGCAACGCAACAACGAACGAATGAACGAACAAACAAAAAAATCAACGAAACGCTTCTTCATCTCCCTCGATACAGAGCACTCAAACAGGAGGACGAGATGTGTATGTGCGCTTGATTGTTCCATGGCATTGTTGCCTTTATTTATTGAATGAATGAATGAATGAATGAATGAGCGAATGATCGAACGAACGAACAAAAAAAAACAAGGACAAAATCATTTTTTGTTTCCTTCTTCTCTTCTTTTATGGTGGTGGATCTAGATAATGTGGGCATAAATGTTTCTTTGCTTGTTCTCTACCGAAAATCACCACTTATTCGTCAAAAACTCTGACTACTGAAGTCCGAGCACATAGCCATAAATAGCAGCAAAGAATAACGTACGAGCAAAGAATGCGACTTCATAAAACAAAATGCTATTGTATAGTTTTTGAATAGGTTGTTCATTTTAACGCTTATTCTTTGCTCTTGCTATCTATATTTGCACCCCTCAGCTCTGTCTGTTGTTCACCTCTCATTTCCCTTTCGCTCTGCATCGTTCTTGTGACGCGTCGCGTGAAAGCGAACGCGATGAAAATATGTGAAAAAGTTTGTTTTTCTCCTTTCAGTTCAACTCAAACGTATACGTATATATAGTATCTATTGAAAATCAACAGCCAGCTCCTTTATCACCTCCATATTACGTGTACCTCTCTCAAACTCTTTTATTCTACCGTGCTCTTGCCTCCATTGTGAATGCTCGTAGCTAACACACATCCTCCAACAAATTTTGAATTCGTTTGCACTGTTCCATTTCGCCTCTCTTGTTCGTTAAGTGTTTTGTGTGCTCAGATAGTGGCATCGATTGGTTTTTGGCGCGCGTACAACTTCACAACTGGTTGAATGCCATAAAATTTTATATCATCTATTATATCACAGTTTGTCTATTGTAACATTCGATTCCAAGCAGCGAAACAAGTATCTTTCATTCTCTAGACTCTTTCTCGCTCTCTCTCTCTCTCCCCCTCTCTTATTCTCTTCGTGTGTGTGTGTGTGTGTGTGTGTATGTTTGTACCCCTCTTCGTTCTGTTGTTGTTGTTGATTTTTGTCTTTCTTTCTCTTCTTTTCTCTTTCGCTAACATGATTGCTCGTTGGCCATGTATTGTAGATTTTGCGATGCTTCAATTTTTGGCATGCGGTAGAAAATGTTCGAAAAAAAAAAGATTTATTGATCTTGAGCCGAAGCTAAACAACACATCATTAACATCATTTGGCTTCATACGGATATATGTATGTGTCTACAATATTATTGATACCATCGCACCACATCCTGATTCTATCCTGTTTTCGTAGCTGTGGTTGCCCCATATATGAGGAAAAAATCAACAAATCTCCACACACAATTTTACAAGTGAAATGTTTAACAATGCGAATAAGCGATGTAGCGATGAATTGATGCGAATATTTTTCGGTTGATGGCGATAAATTGCAATTATTTGTAAAAGAAAAAAATTAAATAGGAACTTTACGATTGTGTCAGATGAATGGCAGATTTCCAATATAAAACATCCCGATGGATAAAAATTTGTTGGTTGACTGAGGCGTTCGACAAAAATGTACGACACATCAACGATGACACCGACAACCCTTATTATTACATCGTAAAATCAAATGTACAAACAACAAAGCTCAAACACATTCACTCCCAGTCTCTTTTTCGCTCTCTCTCTCTCTCTCTCTCGTTTGCTCTCCGCTACAATCAAAACGCATGCTTTGAATGGAAAATAGATTTCATGCACCAAGTCCATTTTACATTTCATTCAACACACACGCAGAAAACCATCATGTACGTACACATGAGTGGAAAGCGTTTCACAAAATGTCATTTCTTTTTCATCACGTATTTTTTTTGCGTTTCGGTGTACGAATGGAGAGAAAATTTGGATGCGATGAATACGACTTTCCACTGTGCCGACACTATTTAACTCGTTATGCTGGCTGACAGCGCGCACTCACACACATACAGAGATATTGGGTCAATTCGAAAGTTTCCGCCGTTTTTTTTTGTCTAAAAATACATTTATTGCAAGATAAATTGAAAATGTACATTAACCAATGTATTCGCCATCGTTAGCTATGACTTCTAGCCATCTTTCAGGCAGCTTGTTGATTCCTCGCTTGAAGAAGTCCTCGTCTTTTGAGGTTATGTAGTAATCAACCCATTTTCGCACTTCCTCCTCATTTTGAAAGCGTACTTCAGACAGGGCAATCCGCATCGATCGAAATAGATAGTAGTCGCAAGGAGCAAGGTCTGGAGAGTACGCGAGCTGATCAAGCCGATCCCAACCGAGCTGCTCTACCTTATTTTTAAAAATTGTTGCACGATGTGGCTTAGCGTTGTCATCGTGGAACAAAACATTGTGGTGTTTTCGAGCTATTAATGGCCGTTTTTCATCCAATGCATGAGCCAAATCATTCAATTGGCGTCGATAGCGTTCCTTATTAATCGTTTGATCTGGTTTTAGCAGCTCATAATACACGACTCCTTTCATATCCCACCAGATGCACAGCATAACCTTATCGCAATGAATATCTCGTTTTGGTTGTGATGGTGCCGGTTGGCTTGGATCAACATACGCTGCCTTACGCTTGGGGTTTTCGTAATAAACCCACTTTTCATCGCCGGTAACAATCCGATACAAAAAACTGTTTCTTTTGTGCTCTGCAAGATGTTTTGTGCATATTGCGATTCGTGCTTGAAGTTGCTCTTCAGACAGTTGATGTGGAACCCATTTTCCCAGCTTCCGAATCTTTCCCATGGCGTGCAAATGTCTGAAAATGGTTGTTTGGCCGACGTTTAACTGCAATGCAAGTTCTTTTTGCGTTTGGGTTGGGTCTTCATCCAATAATGCTTGCAAATCGACATCTTCAATCGCTTCTGGCCGACCTGAACGTTCTTTGTCTTTCAAGTCAAAATCACCACTTTTGAATCGATGAAACCATTCTCTGCAGCTTCGTTCCGATGGAGCTTGCTCGCCATAAATATCTGATAGCATTCGATGAGCTTCAGCGGCAGTTTTCTTCGAATCAAATAAGAAAAGAAGGGCCCCTCGAAAAAACACCTTATCACGATCCATTTTCAATCGATTCAAAAACAATGACGCAGAACGAAAAATGAATCTTTCTGCTCTGAGTTAGATTGCTAAATGTCACATCTACAAAATGCAATTGGATTCACTTGTCAAGCTACGCTCAGTTACAAGTGGCGACATTTAAATGTCAGCGGCGGAAACTTTCGAATTGACCCAATACCATCGAATAAAAATGAAAATTTCTATCGTCCCTGCGTCTATTTTTCTTTCTCATTTCCATTGTGAGTGTATATACTGTGTATCTCCAACTTCAATGTCGCAAAAGCATTGTGTTTGGTGTAGCCAGACGATTCCCATTTTCCAAAGCAAAAGAGATTGTAACCGATTCGAGACACTACGAAAAACCAATTCATTTGAATCGTCTTTATTTGCTTTTAACTTGGTTTCAGTCGCATTTTCTTCGACAAGCGAGAGAGAATCGTTTTTCGAATTTCGAATGTCAAGTGCGGTCAAATGAAAATCGAATTTCCTTTTGTTTGAGGGTTGCGTTTTTATGTCTCAGAAGAAAACCCGCTTGAATTGAACAAGGGCAAGTGATGATTAGGTTGATAGCAGTTTACATAGCACAGCTTTCGTTTACAAAATATGCTCTCGTTCGTTTGCTTACTTATTCTCAACCAACAAACTCTTTGTGTTTTTTTTGTGTTTTTGTCTCTTTTGGGCTCAACCGCAACAATCGATACAAGTGTTTGATACCATTTCAAGACATGCTCATTGATTGATCGAGAAAGAGGGAGAAAGAAAGAAAGAGAGAAAAAAAAACGGAATGGGATAAAATCAATGTGGATGTATAGATCTAGGGGTTTCACGCAATCTCGAAGGCCGAAGATTTTACTAAATAGCTGGGAATAAAACCATTTTATGTGTAAACTATAGATATTGCTTCTTTTTATTCATAATCTCGAATTTTTTAGAATTTTTTGAATCTAAAAATTCTAGAAGTGGGTTTTGGTGGATCCTCAGGATTGTTCAAAACCGCTCCTGGTTCTGGAAGTGGATCCTCAGGATGAACCAGGGCATTGTCAAATCCAGTCTGATCCATCCTGAGGATCCTCCAAAACCCACTTCCAGAACATAAT